GGTTCTTCGACAAAATTTTTGACCATGCTCAATAGAAAGCCTTTTAGCATGCTATTTCAGAGCCTATGTAACAGTACCTTTAAGGTTGAGAATAACACTAACCTAACCACTTACCTCTAAAAGTATTTTGAATTTATTCTGAAATCAACAGCTGAAGTAGATATCTGAACGACAATCGAAAATCGAAATAAATCAACTATGCAAAGTACTAGCAAACATAAAAAGAAAAATTTCATTGATAGCAAAATTTCTTTCATAAATTCTAACAATTGATTTCTCGAAATATATAGTGAGTGGTGGCGATTTGAATTTTTTGTACCTTTTGTAAGGGTAATGTCCGACAATTGGGTCCATCCAGCCACGTTGAGCCCATATTTTGCGCATCTCTGCCCCCGTTTGGCTCGGCGGGTGCATGGCTGATCCGCATGAAAGAGCACATTGTGATACGACAAGTAGTTTCGGAAAAATATACCACCCCGTAACTGGCACTAATTTGTACAGGGACGGATTTAGGGACTTTAAATGGAAGTTGTAATTTCGATTAAAATGGTTTAGTGCGTTAGATCGTTTTTATTTAAGTACAGGTGATCATAGCATAATAATTCTTGTAAAGTTCTGTTTCTGTTTACCCAATTGTACAAAGAATGTTGTCTTTTAGCAAATTGTAGTCTCACACTAGGTATTTTCTTCTATGTTTTAGGTACGTTAAAAACATACAGTTGCAATTTACACCAAAACTCGCAACAACAACTTCGAGTTATTATTATTTAATTCATTGTTAAGGGCACTTGAAATCAACTAATTGTCTATTGTGTAAGTTAATAAAATGTCAATAGTCCATATCTAAGTGACATAAGACATATTATTTATTGCCTAAACGTGTCAAATCATTATAAATGTGTAAAGGAAAACGACTCATTGACTAGTTATTAAATAGGTATCTACAGTACCTCCAATTAACACCGTATTTCTAATTATTTATTTCATCAACAGATCCAAGAGCGTAAAAATATCAAGATAAAAAATTCTAAATCCATCCCTGTTCTCCAAGGTGCAACCCGTTGCAAAAACAGACAGAAATTGTCCAAAAATTCTAAACGTGATCAAGTCATTGTGTGCGCACACCCGCCACAATGGGACACAATAGCCATCCTTAGCCACTCTTTATTCGCAACAATACCACTTTCACCAACAATAGAAACACATTCAGTACCATACAGATCAATGTCATATCGAAAAATCAATCAATTTTCGACTTTTAAGTTTACTACATAAATATTAATTTTATTTCTCACATCGTGGTCTTTTGCGACATTTTTGTGATGGTGTCGTATCCATCGCGTGTTTGCTATAGTTGTCATTGTTACCTACACCTATTGTCGCATTGTTTGTGATCTATTGAACGCGATCAATGAGAAACATTTTAATATTACTAAATTATAAACGTCTTCCGCGATTTCTAGAAGCAAGATCGCAATAGAGTCGTCCAAACTACATTTTTAATTTAATATCTTATTCGTTAGTTTCATTATTTCCTGCATAATTATATCCCTTGTTTTATTTTACTCTGCATGCTTAAACAAATCAGTAATAACCTATTTATTTGTTTAGTATAGTTTCGACGTAAAAAAAGCAAAAATATTTCCTTGATCTTCGTAGTGCGTGTTTGTTATTGTGTTCTTGGAGCGTAGAAGAAACGTTCCAAAATTAATATAGAATATAAATTTTTGATATTTTTTCTATGAACTTAGTTGAGCTCAAATGCGACATACAGAATCAAAATAATTTTACGCGGCAACCGACTCCATATCTTTCCCTATCCACCCACGCAAACAATTTATTGCAATTCGACCCTGTCCCCACATGCATTCATACATCACCGGTGCACACAAACACTATCCCTGCACGACACATCCGGGCCCATACAACACCATACACCTCATACAATGTCTTTGCATCACCTTTATTCAATTTCATCACTTTGTTACATTTCTAATTGTTACTCTCATTTTCTATTGTTACATATAACCATCTTTAGAATAAAATTTGTCACTTTGCTTCCCGTCGCGTTATAATCATCATCCGGTCAATATTTCCACTGATTGCACAATTACGTCCTCTGCCGGAAGTTAAGTGGTCGAATTAAATGTTTGTGTCCATACAATGTGGCGATTCTTTGAAATTAGTTGCATACTTGACAGATGTCTCAATACAAAGTGGTGCAAGGTGTCAAAGGCTTCTGTTAAGTCTAAGAAGTACTTGGAATTCCTCGGGCAGTCGATTTGTTGCAATTATTACTGTTATTATTCTTTGTTATTTTCGAAATCAAAAGAACCAGATCAAATACTCTCCTTCAATTAGATTTAGTGTTCTTCTCAATTCTAAAAAGGGTTCTAGACCTAGTTTATAGTTACAGTTGTACACAGACACCGAGAGCTGAGGAAACTTGGGATATTTAAAATTCAAAAGAGCATTCTGTAATATGGAGACTAAAATTTTAAAGTTGGTAGCTGTAAATATTACACTGATGAAATTATTTAAGAATATGCTGGATAAAAAATCCGAAAAATATTTTCTATGTACTCTGAAACAATAGCAAGCAAAGCCATTTTTAAACTGAAATAAAGTTTTGTAACTAAGGGAAAACACACATTGTCCTAAAACTTCAGAATTTTCTTTTCATTCAAATTTATATTTTCAGCGACAAGTTTTTCTTTCTGAAGTTAATCTTTAAATTTACGTTTTTTACTTGACTGTGGCGTTTTTTGCGGTCTTACTTCATTTTACTAGGCTTCTTTGGAAACAAACAGAAAAGAAGTTGAAAGAATTTTTACGAACCAACAATCTCGCTAAGTTAATTAACATGTATGTATGTATGTCTGTAAAATGTTAATTAACATAATTCTTTTCTGTTATTAACATATTTTATTAACAGAATTTCTCTGATTATATTTTAAACTAAATCAAGCGACTGATACATACGTAGAAGCTTACGTATACTGCTAAAACTTTAAAATATCTGTCTCGAAAACTGATGAAAAAATAGATAAAGAAAGCATTTTAGCAAGTTAACTGGCCATTCATTGACATATAACTAAGTAAACAGCTGGTTACCGGTATTCTTTCATTTCATAGAGTCATAGAGCTACCGCAGTAGTCCGAAAAATAAAAAGGAACTACTTATTCTATTTATTTAAACCTGAAGTTATTTAAGCCTTCCTTCCCATAGTAAGCGGTATATTTGAGCCACTGGAGATTTTGTTAAAACGTCCCTTATCTGAATTTCATTCACAAATATTTACAATTGCGGATTTAATTTGTGACAATGCATGAGACCGTTCCGCGGTTCATTCATGTCCTTGCATTCAGTTTCATTCATGTTTGTCCTGAGTCTAAGTGTTACGTTCCTGTAATCCTGGTATTGTCCAGTCGTTTGTAGACTCATTCATTGAAACTTGTATTTGGATGAGACTATCTCTGTTTAAGATCTAATCTCGAATATCGTCTGATTTTGTGTAGACTGCAGCCGTGGGACTAGTAAACAAGGAACTGTTTCCATTTTAGTATTCCCACTTTGTACATATTCGTCTCGTTTAACGTCCATTTACAATTTCACAAAATACTTTATATTTACCTATTGATACACTCTTTTATTAATTCGTAGACGATGATTTCAATTTCATTTCCAATTTCATTGAATTCATATTTCGTTTTTCCTTTTAGCGTAGTTAACTATTCATTGAGAAACGCTTACAAATCCACAAGGACGTATTCATATAACTAACTGCTTTTGCATTCAGTAATACATTAATAATAACCTCTAAAAGATATACTAACTGTATATCTTTTAGAAGTTATTCATCATTCATTAACATGAAATCTCTTTTCAAGCGTTGCTTTTCGGAGAACACCATTTTGGAGCACGTTCAATTCAGTTGCAGTTTCACTCAAAACATCATCGGCTACCATTCGTTTGTCTGCAGCATCAGACATAGCGGCACCAGGCTTATCCTCATTGTTATCTAAAGTTTCATTAACATCCTCTGTAATAGTTTTTTCATTGTAAACCTTTATACATTTGTGTACGTTGAAGTGTAAACTTCTTATTGTATTCAAAGTCGGATTAAGGAAGTTCGTCTGGGATGATTTTTTATAGTTTCACTTTGAGTTACCGATGTGTCTAAAGGAGCATGATGGAATACTGAATTGACTGCAAACAGGGATTTAATAAATAAATTTTATTGTAGTGTATTTTAAGCATCGGTACGTAAATTATCAAAGAATTAAATTATTATGTTTTCGGCTTACTCACGTTGTAATTCGACAAGGAACTCGACTAGTTTCAAAGAATCGTTAGATCAAAGAATTGTTTCCTAAAAATTACAACGCAAATGCCTACTAAACCTGCTTAATTTATCCAGACATCCTCAACTTTTAAAGTTAGGTATACCGTCAAAATATTCATTTGAAGAAAGTTACTATCAAATTAGTGGAATATAAGCATTCTTCCTTTCACAATCATGAACTGAAATCAAATCAAATTTAAATGAATTTCCAGGATCCAAATAAAAACTAACAAAGCTGACATCGACGACAAGCTTATCCGCATCCAATATACACTACCATTTTGTGTGACGTCATTCAAAATTACCCAACCGTGATCATCTAGTCGAGTGACAAAATTAATTGGTTAAAGCCACAATAAAGTGCGTTACACACGATGGGAACACAATGTGGCTATTGAAACCCGGATTAGTTGGTACCCGCTGTGGACAATTTTTCGCTTGTGAGAACACAGCTTTTGAACAGTAGCTGTTATATGATACTAATATTAAAATGAGATCTATTTGGTGAACGTTCCAATTAGAATTTCTGTTTGTAATTAGAATTAAGTGACAAATTGTAATATAGACCTTTTAAATGCTACATTTCCTCCGCTAACCGTCGATATTCGGAGGAGTTAGGAGTAAAAACGAAATAAAAATCCAAGAAACATCTAAAACTTTTATTTAAAAACCCTTCAAATTCAATTCAGATTATTATTTATATATGATTTTATTAAATTCTTATGAAATCACCCAAACGGTGTTTTACCAAAAACAACAAGTAGCAGTGGCAACCGACTATTGTCATAAAAATCATGCGATGAAGGCTATCGCCATCGCAGCATTCATCATGCCACATGACTCTGCATGCTCTCCGCGCTGCATCTTGAAGTACCCCTGGTCGTGCCAACCTGAACCCCAAGAATTTTTCACAATCCAATATGGCATGCCATTTTCTGCAAAGACAAATATCATAAAAGGTCTGAGCAGAGCCAGGAGGCAAAAACTCGCTTTTAAATTTTAACAGTTACCAAAAAATTATTTATTAGAACTGAATTATAATATAATAATTAGGTTAATGCTTCAAGCCGCATGATATTCGGACTTAAGCGATTTTCCATTCCATGCACATAGAATGCACATAGAACAGAATAAATTAATTTATATAGATTAAGAGACAATGACCTCTGAGTTTGTTTCGGTGTTTCTTCTCAGTAGTCAGTTAAGAAATGCTGGTCCTCATCTAGTAATTTAATTAAAGATTGACGTGTAAAAGTGTTACCTATACATAGAAATAAATATCATTTCATTATAATAAAAATTGATACTCAGACGCAATATACCATACAACATTTTCGAGATCAGAGTTTAAAATAGTCTCGTGCGAAGGAACCCAAGAATACATATCAAATGAGTACGTACCTGTTCCATAACCGACAAGAAGTACAGCATGGTTTAGTGGCCCAGTACAAAACTGATCAGTAATTATGCCAACACGTCCTATATACCGGAATTTGTCTGCTCGAATTGCTGGAATCACACAAAGAAACTTCTAGATATAAGGAACAGGAAGGAAGGATAGGAGGTATAAAATTCGAACTATAAAGCACTCGTGCTGCATCAGCAAATAATACAGTATCAGTAGGGTTGTTTAAACACGTGAAAAGAAAATGTTTTCAAGTTCTGTTCATCTGACTAGCTTCTGCCCGCGACTTCGTACGCGCAATCCCGTTTTCTCCCGTTCCCGTAGAATTTTCAGGATTTTTCAGTCATAAGAACCTTCCCCTGATAATAACAAACACAACAAAAAAAAAATCAACCAAATCGATCCAGCCATTCTTAAGTTATGGCGTGACAACGGGAAACAAGTTTCATTTATATATATGTATATAGACTAACTTATCCCGTATTCCCGTTGCATAAAGAGTGCTGTTCCAGGTCATATATCTACCCCTGTTCCAAATTTCATCTCGATCCCTTCAGCTGTTTTGACGTGAAAGAGTAACAAACAAACACACATACATACATCCTCACAAACTTTCGCATTAAATTATTAAGTAGGATAGATAGCTAAGGGCCGATTTATCCAAAGCCAGATAAATTTTATCTAAAGATTATTTGACAATTCTTCCATACTTCCACACATTACACATTTTAAGTGTGGGAGAGCCATGCTTCGGCACGAATGGGCCGGCTCGACCGGAGTGATACCACGGCCGAGCAGAAAACCGACGTGAAGCAACGCTTGTGTTGTGTTTCCGGTTACCGGAGGCCCAATCACCCTCCCCTTCTCCAATCTCCCCACTCCCTGAATCCCCATCGATCCTCAAACTCCTAATGCCCAAAAAGCCGGTAACGCACTTGTAACGCTTCTGGTGTTCCAGTTGTCCATGGGCGACGTCGATTGAGTGGGACTTACCATCAGGTTATCCGTCTGCTCGTTTAGCGGCGTATGCCATAAAAAACCCCAATAATTAGGTAAATGTATTAGAATTATGGCCTTACCGATAGATATAGGTCCGTATTTGTATAGCAATTGTTTCACCTTCTCTTGCGAGGTAAGACGTAACGAATTACAGCTGGTCACTTGGACTGGCGGCGACCGAGGGTAGATGTTAAATAGCGGCCACGAACGATTGAAGTAGCATTGACTTTGATAACCAAAGTAGGGGTAGTCTGGTTCTCTTACGGCTCCCCCAGCTTTCATCAGATACCTGTCATCATAATATCATACTCGTTAATCATTTACCTAACAAAGCTTGCTGTGCCTGTAATTCTATGCTCTGAGACTGACAATTTTCGAAAAACTATAATTTAACTCGTCGAGTACCGGTTTTGTAGACACAATTATAGAACAATAGGTTGCGGTCACCGGTCACCGCTTGGTGTTTGACAGTTTAAAAGCACTTTGTCGTTTCTGCAATTAAACTTAAAACTCCTTGAACTGGAAAGAAAGTCAGGTTTTAATTTTACTATTTGTTACTAATTTAATAAATAATTTTAAGTGTGGTAGAGCCATGATTCAGCACTAATGAGCCGAAAAACCGACGTGAAATAACGCTTGCGTTGTGTTTCGTCGTGTGAGTGAGGGTACCGAAGGCCCAATTACCTGCCTCCCCAACCTCCCCAGGCCCTGATTCCCAACAATCCTCAAATTCCTAATCCCCAATAGGCCGGTAACACACTTGCAACGCCTCTGGTATTGCTTACCATCAGTAAATCAGCCAGCGCGTTTACAGGCTTATCCCATATAAAATTCACTTACCTGAAAGTCGGTGCCATAAGTCCTTCCGTACAACCTAGAGTTCTGCTGTTACAGTCGACAATCTGCTGTTCTGATAAATCAACCTGTGTATTATACTTGATGGCTACCTGACTTTCTATGTTTGCTAAAACAGAAATATTCCACATCAATAAGTTATCCTGTATTGCCTATAATTAAGTCAAGATTAAAACATTTACCTAATTTAATCAGACGAAAGAACTAAATAAAGTGTAAACGACAAAAAAATGTTGAACTATGACAAAAATGTACACACCATTATATACCTACTAGCTACTTGCGCGCGGTTTCACCCGCTCTGCTCGGTTCCTATTAGTTGTAGCAAGATGTATTATAGCCTATAGCCTTCCTTGATAAATGGACTATCCAACACAAAAAGAATTATTCAATTTGAATCAGTAGTTTCGGAGATTAGCGCGTTGAAACAAACTCTTCAGCTTTATAATATTAAGTATAGATAATATTGTTAGTTTGAGAATATAATGATCAAGATAAGTAAAATTTGACCTACCAATCGCACTGAACGCATAACAACTTGAACATTCATATTGGTGTTTAACTGGAGTCACAGCATTATGATCACGCCAGTCGAAGGATTCAGGAGCATCGACGTCTTCAATGTCCTCATCGAATAAGTAGGGGCAGTCATTTGTGAGAAAGATTTCGCTCAAACCAGTGTATCTCATGGTGAACTCTTCTTGCGTGAGGTCCATGAAGTGTGTTACATCTAAAAATATGAAGAATTTGAATCTTTATTCATCATGGTAAGCAATCGATGCCACCCATAAAGTGCAGAATCTTTTTACAAATCTTCTATTCAGCCTACGGTAACCTCAATCACGCCCATTTTCTTTGAAGCCGTGATATCACATATAGGTAAATGGTTATTTCATATTTTAATCTTATCAAACAAAATTTATTTAGTGTGATGTTAACACGGCTTTACACCAGTTACATTAACACACATACAAAGAGAAATGAAAGAGAATCACACAGTTAGAATAACAGAAAAAGAAGAAAAAATACATAAATGAACATCACATTAACGGTCACCGGTGACCGCAACCTATTGTTCTATAATTGTGTCTACAAAACCGGTACTCGACGAGTTAAAAAACTACAATTAAAATTCAATTAAAAAACATAAACAAAAAATCAGACAGTTACAATAGATGACAAACAAAAATGTACCTAATAAATTATTATGTTTACGGCTTACTCACGTAATAATTTGACGAGGAACTCGACTAGTTTCAAGCCATGCTAAAGGCTCATATTCATGAGCAGCATTTCGCGACCCGCGATGCGGCGACCGTCGCGCTGCTACATGCTTATTACGTGAGTAAGCCGAAAACACAATAATTTATATTTAGTATGTCTCACGAAAGTTACAATACAAAAATCAAAACAATTAATTATACACTTCAAAGGCTCACAAAAACTGAGACAAACATTTTTAGTAGCTTTAAACTCGTCCATAATAGGTCACAGTCGGGATAGGCTTCCATAAGGTGAAATGAAAATACGGAATCATCTACTCAAATCTTCCGAGTACCTAGTTACGAAATTCTAGATGATAATATCAAATACATTACAGATTTACGGTGAAATTGAAACTAGTATGGTGGTCTGCAGGTCACTCTATTTTTTTCTCTATCTCTATTACATCTTCAACTTTATTGTATTGATATAAAATCAAAAATCCAATGAATATAAACACAGTTTGGAGTAAATTCATCTACTGGCTACTGCACAAAAAGTAATTATTAATAATATTACCGTAAAGATGTGATTCTCTTCTTGCATTCAATTCAATAATCTTCTTTAAGTTCTCAGCGAATATTTGAGATCTATTTAATCTTTCTTCTTCGTCAGCGTACATTTTATTATATTTCACGACGAAGTCATTGAAGTGTTGGTCCACATTATCTAGAGAGTATGAAGTAATGGCAGTAGACGAAAAGTCTACACCAAAGAAAATACAGATCAGAAATAAAGCTAGCATTATCACTCCAAGAAAAACGACAGCAAAATGTTTTACTTTTATAATTCAGACTAAAATTAATAGCTATTTTTATAGAAATTTTTATGCTGCGCAAAAATGCAATGCTTATCGAAAATTGGGTAAGTTCCTAACATTAAGTAATTAATGACTTTTTTATTTCTAACACAAATAGTGTGTTTGTCTGTTTTTGATGCTGCTTTACTTGGGTCAAAATAATAATAACAGTATAAAATTCAAAACCTTTTATTATTAAGTGGTGGAGTTGTAAACAACGCCTCATTCATCCCATGTAATAATAATTATATTCAATACAGCTCCACGGATTACGGAGCCCCAATTTCCCATTTCCCAATCTCCCCTAATAAAAAATTAAGCAAAAGGAAGTCGAATCTTCTACAGCAGTGGGGTTGAGGACATGTTCCTCAGTACTGAGTCCCTTTAACTGGTGACTCTATCAACTTGTCATTATGACATCTCAATTGGGCAGAATAGGCATTCCGATAGCCGTGGGCACCGGACAGCTATATCTCGCCATTAACATAGCCGCTTGGGCACAAACACTCGAACTGTCGAGGCACATCGCAGACTCGGCTGCGTCAGTATCCACAATAGCTTTCCTTCAGAGCATATTGCTTCATCACCAGGGGTGGAATTAGAACAGCTCCACCCCTGAACACTGTTTCACTGTGTAGAAACGAACTCCCCGTGAATGGCGCGCGAAATAACGCACCGGTGCTAAACGGCGCGAAAACTTTAATAGCGGGATACAGGATGTTTGTTTACAGACTGCATTGTTAGCGCAGCGCACCGACTGCTGTGCAACGTGTCGCAGGTTCGATTCCCGCCCGAACAGCTTTTTGTGTGATCCATGGTTTGTAGTTCCGGGTTTAGGTGTCATGGATGTGAATTTGTATTTTTGTAAACGCACTCACGATACAGGTGGAAATAATTATGTGTTTTTAAAAAAGATTAATACATCTACGCGTATTATTAACAAATGTATTATGCAAGTACACATTGGTGCATACGCTCACCAATTATAATTGGTGAGCGTATTGCTATCGGGCACAATTCTCCGTTCTGAAAAAATAAAGACATTTTTGAAAAACTTATAAATTGGCTGACTGTTTCTCCATCCCACCATCGCACAAATGGCAAAGAACCATAAAAAACAAACGATTCTAAAACATATTTCAATTAGAGGAAAAATTCCTGCTTAATATATTTGTTAATAATACGCGTAGTTTTAAAAACACATAATTATTTCCACCTGTATCGTGAGTGCGTTTACAAATATACAAAATCACATACATGACACCTAAACCTGAAACAACAAACTATGGATTACACAAAAAGTTGTTCGATCGGGAATCGAACCTGCGACACGGTGCACAGCAGTCGGTGCGCTGTGCTAACAATGCAGTCTATAAACAAACGTCCTGTATCCCGCTATTAAAGTTTTCGTGCCGTTTAGCACCGGTGCGTTATTTCGCGCGCCATTCACGGGGAGTCCGTTTCTACACAGTGAAACAGTGTTCAGGGGTGGAGCTGTTCTAATTCCACCCCTGGTGATGAAGCAATATGCTCTGAAGGAAAGCTATTGTGGATACTGACGCAGCCGAGTCTGCGATGTGCCTCGACAGTTCGAGTGTTTGTGCCCAAGCGGCTATGTTAAGGCGAGATATAGCTGTCCGATGCCTACGGCTATCGGAATGCCTATTCTGCCCAATTGAGATGTCATAATGACAAGTTGATAGAGTCACCAGTCAAAGGGACTCAGTACTGAGGAACATGTCCTCAACCCCACTGCTGTAGAAGATTCGACTTCCTTTTGCTTAATTTATTTTTATTATTTAATCCTTTATCTACCTACATAATCGGGGAACTACATAACCTAGTTTTTACTCATTTTGCAGTCATTAACACACAAAATGTATAAAAACATTTTATCTTTACAAAAAAGTACACAGGGATGAATTTCAAATGATATCATTGAGTTACTTACGTTCTACATGTAAAAGTATGGACAAATAACCTAACAAAATTTTTTAGCGAAATGATGTACCAATATATTGAATGGAATTTGATAAAAAAATATTTACAAAACCATAAAAATAAGTACTTATCTAGAAATTACAAATATTCAATAAAAATATTGTAATGCAAATTATTTTCATACTAGAGAAATATTTATCAAATATTTCATATACAAATACGTATAAAAGGTCTCACTTTCTTAAGGAAAAACAGAAGTGAGATCGCCACTTTGTAACAATGTCTCCCTCTGTGATTGTTTTCTGTGTTTGTTTGGCGGCCTGTGCGCAGGCAGCGAAGATACCACTGTTCCACGCCGGAGACGCTGAGTATCACTTCGAGCGCTTCATACAAGACCACAACAAACAATACGCGAGCGAGGAAGAGAAGCAAGCCAAGTTTGAAGTCTTCAAAGACAACTTGGAAAGAGCTAACGCTTTGAATAAGCAAACCGAACATACAACGTTTGGTACGTAATCACTCAATAATTCCTTTAACATATAAACATAATAATCACGTATGTTATGAACCGTATAACAATTTCAGGTATTACCCGTTTCATGGATCTCACTCTGGAAGAATTCCTCAACCTCCACACTGGACTACATGCAGGTTTAAATTTTACTGGAGAATGTAATATAGTGACTGATGTGCAGCTCCCTAATGTGAATGTGCCAGAGTCGTTTGATTGGCGTCAACAGAATGCAGTTACTAGGGTTAAGAACCAGCTTCACTGTGGGAGCTGTTATGCATTCAGTGCAGCCGGTAAGAATGACGTACTTACATACTTCTCAATGCAGAATCTTTCTAGTCGTGACATTTTGTTGATGACAACTAGAACCAAATTATTATGTGTCTTCCTTTCAGTGGAATCAATGATGATTTTAAATTGTTACAGGTGCCGTTGAAGGCCAATATGCAATCAAACATGGTCAGTTGATAGAATTTTCTGAACAACAAACAGTGGATTGTGATAAAGAATCCCTCGGATGTAGTGGTGGTCTAATGACATCTGCATTCAGGTAACTATTCCCTTCTTCATGATTATTGTAAATGTGAAATTCTGTGGCATTACGGTACAAATTATTTTTTGATTTGTAACAATTTTTTGAGAGTGCTTTAATTTCAACTATCGAGGATTTATAAATACCACGAACATCGAGGATTTATGTATTAATCATAATGTATTATTGATGACAAAACATTCATTTTGTAGTGCCATGATCAATGCAGGCGGTTTGGAGTCAGAATCCGACTATCCTTATATTGGTAAAGAACAGTCTTGCCAATTCCAAGCTGGCAAGGCAGCTGTCAGACTGACTGGCTGTACTAACTACCATCTTAGTTCACAAGAAAGGCTAAAGGAATTAGTTGCCACCGTTGGACCGATATCTATTGGTAAATTATGTGAATTTAGTTTTGTATTGGTTTGTTACTGACCACGAACTCAAAACACATTAGTACAGTTATTTAGAATTAAGCACGGTGTCAATATGCACCGATTGCGTAAGTAAAATTCGAACAATAAATTTACTGATTTTTACACCTTTTCACGACTCTGGTCACGCTCAGTAGCAAGCTCTTTACATAAAGGCTGCTTGGTATCACAAGTCATCTTTAAGGTACCACCAGATAAACGGTAAAGCAGAGAGAAGAGTAAATTTTAGGTGTCTTCAAGTCCCGAGTAATTAGGTTGCTTGTAACTACGCAGTATTGTTTCATCGTAGGCCACATTGTCACTTAACACAAAGCAAGTTGGAGGCTTCCTTATTTAATTTTTAAATATCCACCGTTTTGCATTATCTCCTATGAAATACAACTGAATAAATTGACTGAATTTATGACAGTTCCTCTCATGAGTTCTATTTTTTATAGCTGTGCAAGCTGAGAGCTTCCTAACATATACGGGCGGTATAATGGACGATGACGTATGCAATGTGGGCGATGTTAACCATGCTATTCTTCTAGTCGGGTATGGAACAGGTAAGCAATGACATTGGAACATGATTATATGAAATAAGTAACGGTATATAAAAAAATGTTTTATAATAACTATCGTGAGACATGCGGCGCGGTCGCGGCGATGAGTAGGCTGCGCGACATTGCTGAGACTACGTACGCTGCTTATGAGGAAGAGCCCCTCTGTGACTCGAAACTAGTAGAGCTTTTCCCAATGTAATTATTTGGTTAATTTAGAAAAAAATCTGTTTCATGTGGGTCGTAGGAGTGGCTCATAATGCGCATTTAGTAAATGTTCCTCCATCCTCCATCTTTTATAGAGCTTGTTTTTAACTTACATTGTGACATATATATTGTATATGAATATATGTATGTATCTGTGTAAAGTGAAATCTTCCAACAAATTTTGAATCAGATATCTTCAAACGATTGAGCTGATATTTTGTAAACACGTTTAGTTTTCATGACCAAAAATGCTAAACTGATTTTTAAAAAGCTTTTAATTTTTTATTGCATGTTTTCAATAGGTACTTTGTTATAGTGTGTGTACGTGTGCCTTTAATAGGGATGATGACAGGGTATGAAAATTAAAAATCTAATTAGTCCGTCAGTTAAGTAATGAAAAAATATTAGACACGTATTTTTTTATTTTGTCGTATAAGAAAATGCTACTTAGATAAAACGAATCAAAATTTAGGAGTGGGGTTAAAACAACATTTTTAAGTATATAGTAAAATGTACATAGAAGTGACGTCACGTGATATTTCAAATCAATGTTATATAGTCGAAAGTATTCGTTTCTGTAAAAAAATAAAAAATACGTGTCTAATGTTATAAAATAATCTACCAGACGGACATTAAAATAAACATTAGTCATCTACTCGTATTCCTAAATGCAATAATGCAACGCTGTTCATTACCACATTTAGTAATACATCGAATTTCTTCCATATTGCAGTTGTTATTAAGTTCGGATTTGGTTAACTGTGGTTTTTTGCAGAAAATGGACAACCATACTG